TCAGACCCCATGGACACCGTGCTTTTGGGACCCATGCCCGAGTATTATACATTCACTAGGTTAGATGATAAATAGGTAGATATGCAAGAACAAGGATTAATATGGCAATAAAATTGAGGACAAGTGTCCAAATAATGTAAATAGTGTAAATAATTAAAATACCTCATCTCAGAAATATAGAAAGACTAGCAGTAGAGCTCATGTTGAAGGGATGTAACAGTAAGAGATAGATCAAGTATCGACCATCATAAAGACTGAAAAATAAAATTGACAAAGATCATTGTTTAAGGTTGACAGACACACATGTCTTAATTTTTTTTTTTTTTTTTTTACGAAATTAGTCAAACTCAAACAAAAAACATTGTTTTCAATCGTTATGAGTCTATCGATTGAATAGAATTTTATTATAAACAATTGTCTTGTAAATGGAATTTTAAAGCATTCTGAATGTAAAATAAAAGAAAAAAGTGTGCAAGACAATAAGAAACACTACCTGCCAAAAAAAAAAAAAAGTGAAGTTTTTTTGAAATCGGGTTGAAAAATGTAGGAAATCTGATCCCATATATAAATGAAACACACATACACACAAACGACCTGGGTTTTATAATAAGTATAACTCGATATGAGTTGTCCTCCTTTCATTCTGGTGACAGAATTGTGTTTTATCATGTTTTCAAATTGATTTTGTGCAAAAACAATTGTTTTTCCAATTTTTGGCGCTGTCAGAACCACTGCAAGGTAACTTTCTGTAGTCCTGTGAAGTTTTGTTGAAATCAGTTGAAAAATGTAGGAAATCCGATCCAATATATAAACGTACACACACACACACACACAATCTGCATTTTATAATAAGTAAGATATTGAAGGATTAATCTATATTATAATTATCTAATGTCTGTGTGTTTACTTATAAAAGTGGACACAGAGGTCAATACTGAGTAGTGATAGTCTTTTTCATGCTTGAATGCAATCTTCATATGCTGATACTGAACACTTTTACCCATGAATGTAGCATACTCTAAAACTATATTTTTATTATATATATATATATATATATATAAAAATAAATAGCTTTGTTATTTAACATTGAGTACAGTTTTTTTTTTTTTTACACTATACAGTATTTATATGTATTTGTATACGATCACTTGCTCATATACCTACCTATATTTACCCATTTGGTTATATATATATATATATATATATATATATATATATATATTAGGTAGAGCAAGTTTTCATCCACAAAACTATACTTTTCTACATACTTCTCATCATGGGCAATGCATTTTTGAGATGATATTCATTTTGTGAGTTGACAGTTGTGCAGGGTCATCTTGATCTTAGGCTGTCACCACTGCTGGAAGATATTACCTGATGCATGTGATTCCAAGCACTGTTTGGTCTCTATAAACATTCAGTTAGTATCATGTTTTGTTTTGTTTTTTTTTCTCATATGGTACTACTCAACTTTGTATGCAATTTCTTGTGTGATTCCTTTTTGCTATCTGTTACTGGAGTAGGGGGAATGGTTGGTTACTGTTGGGATGACTCAACTTCTATTTCCATGCCATAACCCTAACCTCTGATATTGTAGACTAATGTAATAAAGGCATTACTTTCGGAGTGATCTTTCTATAATATACATTTATAACTTGAGTCAACGCTGCAATTATAATTATATTATACGTCATTGATAACATCCACTACAAGTGCATTGTGTTTTGTTTAATGCTTTTATTGAACACAACGTTGGAAAATCTGACTTGCAGTTACATAAAAATTGCATAGACTGATATGGTTACACCGAAAAACAATACCCTGTCCGGTGGTAAAAGCTGCTGGTGGCGGTAGGGGTGGCAGTACCACCTTAGGCACTGAAACTGTGATACCTCCCCTGGTTGGCGGCTGATGAGGGCAGGTTGTTGCACATCCTTTCACACGTGTATAAAAAAAAAAAAATGTTTGTCAGTTAGGATATTTATTACGTTTGAGAAAAAACAAAGATATTTGAATTGGAGACATTCAGAATAAAATTTCTCTTATCAGATAAGAAGTTAAAGCCTATTCTATTTCATGTAGGAACACCTTAATAGCTAGTTTACAGAAGCTATAAATTTAGATGAAGTTTTTTTTCTCTCATAGTTTCTTTTGTTGGTAAATAATGTGTTATTTATTTTACTTATTGGCATAGCAACAGCTTGACTAAGTCAATTCATAGCAATAAATTGATGTGCGGATAGTTTTTTTTTTTTTTTTTTTTTTTTAAATATATGCTCTTAAATAGGTGCTTAAAGGAGTTATCAATGATGTAAGTTGACTTGGTTCATCAGGAAGTTTCAGGTCTTTCAACATCATCCACCCCATCATCAAGCCAACCCAATTAGAGCAGATCAAACCCTGGCCCCCACCCCCCAATCAAACGCTAGCAGAGACTCTGGCCTTTATAATAAATTGGACAAAAGTAGACCACATTTTCTGCGCATTTGATTGAATGTTTATAGTTATAGTGGTTATCAGCACCGAAAATTAAATTGGCATGCAGAGTTCAATTTCCTGTCAATTCTGTTTCATTCACTTCACACTAATGGTCTTGGAAAAAGCATGAATCCCTCTTCTTCCAAGTATGGGTTAAATACCAGAGCAGACTAGACTTTCTTTCCTTGAGGTGACAACTAGCGTAAGAGAAGGAATGGTCTGAATTTAAAACCAGCTTGAACAGTGATAGGTTCTGTCAGCTGATCTGATGCCAAACACACCACTGTTGCTGTGGCTGAAGTACATGTTGTGCCTCTATGACACTAATGGATTACAGGACTTGTGACATGGCATAATAATAATAAACATCAGAAACAATGACAGGCAAAGGAGGTCAAGAATAACAGCAGCCATTCATGCAGACAATTAGAATATTAAGTTAAAGGTTCCATGTTCTAAATTCAGAAATCTGATGATTAAAGTACTGGTTTGTTAATTTTATGGCATAATAATTGTAAATTCAATCCCTGGGTTGCGTAGTACAGACTTAGACTCAGTGAAAACAGAGTTAGCAGTAACGAAGCAAAAATGAAAGAAACAAGTTGAGATATGCCTAGACATGCATAGTTGGACATAGATTGAATAAAAGATTCATAATTTGCAGGAGGCATGGTGAAGTAATGGATAGTGGTTCAGATTGAGGAATCAGAGAGCCGGGTTCGAATTCCAGTTGAATCCATTACATTCACTTGCACTTAATACCCTTGGGAAAGGTATGAATCCTCTTCTTCTCCCTCCCAGCTATAGGTAAATAGCCAGACAGACTGGGTTCTATAGTCTTGGATGGCAACTGGTCTACCACAGAAAGAAATGGCAACCTACTGCTGGAAAAAAAATTTGCCTTGAAAGATACATGATCGCCTATGCATGAATCACACATGGCACATAACTGACTGACTGCTGAGTTATTGCCAGCTCTGTTTCCAACAAGTCAGTCTGTGCCACCCAGCTCAGGGATTGAACTCACAATTACAGACATTACATTTTGTCCTCATCTTTGTTGTCATTATCACAGTTAACCTTCAGAGAACTTTGAAATGAATCCTTTGTTTAATCTATGTTCCACTGTCCATGTCTGGAGTTATCTTGTTTATTTTTTGTACTGCTGAGTTATTTGCCAGCTTTTTTTCCCAAGTTAGACTGATACCCAGCTCAGGAATTGAACTCACAATTATAGACAGGTAGTACAAACACAGACTTGGTGGAAACAGGGTGAGCTATAACTGAGTGGTAGAAAAAATTATCCCAAGATATGGACAGTGGGACGAGAATAATCAACCACCTGTAGATTAAATAAAGGGTTCAGTTTGAAATTCCTGGAAAGTTACCTGAAGAAGGCTAAAAGGGACAATGCTCAAAACATTGCGATAATAACAACAAAGATGAGGACACGTTTTTTTCTTCTTTTTATCCTATTTGAATTCATTTAAGAATATTTTCTGATCTGTTTGTTTGTCATAATGATAAAGAGAAAATAGATTTAGATCAAAAATAACCCATAGGAAGGCACATTGTGCTTCTGCAGCATTCCAAATCAGTTTTGGGTCATAAAAAAGGTTATTTTATGGTATTTCTCTTGAAAGAAAGTTAAAAGACATGGGCAGTTTTTCACTGCCATTTCCACCATAATAACAGAATAAATGTTTTATTATTTATTTTTTAAAATATACCAGGTACTGTAAGTGTGGATGTGCAGGTGGTGTAATGGATAATGGCTCAGAATTGGAAATCAAGGAGCTGAGTTTCAGTTCCAGTTGTAGTCATTATATTCATTTACATGCAAATACTCTTGAGGAAGCCACGGGTTAATTAGTAGGGCCTGTATCAGAAAATCATTATTACCTCCCCAAAATTCTTACAAAATATTTTCTAACTTTAAATAACCTGAAAAAGTTGATAAACTATAAAAAACAAATCAATCAATATTTTGAAAGTAAAAAGATAAAATAAGATCCATATCCTTTGAAATCTCTCATATATTTTTAGGGATCTTCCTCTTGGGGATCAGAAGTTAATCTTTTATATATTTCTAGGGGGGTCCCTAGAAATATATAAGATCAGGATTTAAGCCATTATATATTTTCATGGATCTTCTTCAGATGAGAAGTTAATCTCTAAAATATTTTCAGGTATTTTCTTCAGATGAGAAGTTAATCTCTAAAATATTTTCAGGTATTTTCTTCAGATGAGAAGTTAATCTCTAAAATATTTTCAGGTATTTTCTTCAGATTAGAAGTTAATCTCTAAAATATTTTCAGGTATTTTCTTCAGATTAGAAGTTGATCCCTGGAAATATTTTAGAGATTTTCTCCTTGTGATCAGAGGTTAATAATCCCTTACATATTTCTCCCTACTCTATGATATCCAATGATTACTCTTTTTTTTAATGCAATCCCAAGCCATAATTAATTTTTACTCTTTAGACTTTATTGATTATTTTTTATTTTTTTTTATTTTTTCAGCCTTCAACCCAGAAAACTACCAACCAAAGCTTCATACCAAAAATAGTCTCTACCAAGTCAATGTCTTTACAGTTCACGACTACATCCTCTACTGTTAACTCTGTGACAAAATCAACCCGAACGCCAGTTTCTTCCACGAAACAAAACAAAAACAAAATAGTGAAATCAGCCAAGAAGTCACCAGTAAAATCTTTGTCCGACTCCGCCAAAAAGACATTGAAACGTTCACCAAAGACCTCACCACCAAAGTCACCTTTGGTCAAGAAGCCTTGTGAGTATTTGTCCTTAATTAACCATGTAATTATTGATATTCATTGCAAGATAAATCACTCAGGCAGAGTTAATTAAGGAGTAAGTTGAATATGTAATGAAGACTTGAATCTTCATTACTTAGAATTTTTCTGTTTCTCTTGGCCAGTCTGTGGTGCAAGTTCTGCCATCAGCTCCTGGTCCAACATGTGAACACTACATTCTGTGATTTAAAAAAAAAAAAAAAAAAAAACATTTTTGTTCACTCATTACAAGTTTCAAGACCCATTCATGGTAAGGGATTACTGAATGAAGCATGTGATATGAATGTAAGAAGTGGTAGAAGAAATCTAAAGGTCTAAACTATCTGAGAGAGATTGCCTAAATCATCTCTGGGGTGGTTGTTTATATAACCACCTGTCCAACATTCTTGTTCTCATGTTTGCAATACCAGATATGGGTGTTAGGTCATATATTTGGTGGCCGGAAGTAACCCCAGGTCAACCCTGCACCTGGTTTCCTTTGGTCTGGTGTGAATTTTGAATGCAATGTCTATTCTGGTTGTTCTTTTATGATAGGTATTCTCTCTGACAGATGTGGTCTCATCAAGAGAAGACAACTCTCCCATAGGTATGGCGATACTGCTTTTTATACAGTACCTCATATACATATCACTACACCACCCTGAACCTAAAAGGATTTATACCTTTAGTTGATCTTTGACTTCTACGAACAACCCTGGGAGACATAATCCATCTCTCAGAGTGAGTCTCTTTAATTCTTTTTATGGAAGATCGAGGTCTTAACTGATTTTACTCATTTGAATCATCATGATACCTCTGGTCACTCTCATTCACAGATTGTTTCCTCATTACTATTGAATACACTCATTCTCTCCTCCCTCTCCTGCTCTTCATTGTTATATCTCTAGTAGTTTTCCTGATCACTCTCAATACTGGATTCATTCTTTCTTGTGTTGTCTGTTCTTCTGCTTCCTCTTCCTTTTCCATAACTTCATGCTCTCTTGTGGTTCTAAATTGGTCTTCATGTGTCAGTATGCCCTGTCCCTTCTTTGTTAACACAGTTGTGTTAAATCCCTTTTGCACCACAAAATTTGCTTTTTCAGGACTTGAATCCTTGTCTTTTCTGTACCACACACTTTCATTTGGAGTCTGTCTATATTTCTGAGATATGTATTATGTACATTATTCAGACTGTTGTCCTCATCTTTGTTGCCATATTTATCACAACGTTTTGGCCATTGTACGCTCCGGCCTTCTTCAGGTGGTTGGAATGTTGAACTGAACCCTTTATTCTACCCCAGTGGGCGAAATAAAGGGTTCAGTTCAACATTCCAACCACCTGAAGAAGGCCGGAGCGTACAACGGACTATTTTTTATATTAGTCGACTCATATTCCAAAAACCTTGTTCACTGATAATGCACCTGAGTTTTGTGAAGAATGTTTGTGTGCATGATTAAAACGTATAAGCGTAAAATGTTGAACTGAACCCTTTATTCTACCCCAGTGGGCGAAATAAAGGGTTCAGTTTGACATTCCAACCACCTGAAGAAGGCTGGAGCATACAATGGCCAAAACGTTGTGATAAATATGGCGACAAAGATGAGGACAATAGTCCGAATAATGTAAATAATGTACACTTTCATTTGTTGCAAATTACATGGTAATCAGAGCTCTTATTCGTCTTTCCATCAATGCAGGTGGGCTTTGTCTTCTGCCTGCATGCAGAATAGCTCTAGGAGTAATCTGGGTAAATAACTCTCTATATCACAATCCACTGGAGAGAATGCTTTTAATCCTATTTTTACCATTTGAATCATTCTCTCTGCAATTCCATTGTGGCTGGTAAGGTGGTGTTTTGTATGGAATGCAGCCAATACGTTTTAATCATGCACATAAACATTCTTCACAAAACTCAGGTGCATTGTCAGAGAACAACGTTTTTGGAATATGAGTCGACTAATATAAAAAATAGTCCTATACCTTTAATGTAGGCAATGATCCATATGTACTTGTGTCCATGGTTCTATTTCCTTTGGCCAAGAGTGAGTTTTAGTTTGCCTAAATTTCTTTATTTCTGCACACTTTGGGCATTTTTTAACATACTCTTCCACATCTCTCAAATGGCCTGGCCACCATGCTTGCAATTTTAACCTCATTTGCGTAGCCAATATACCCCATGTATATCATCATGTATGGCTTTAATTACTTCTTTTTTCAGAGACTGTGATGATACTATATCTCCATTACATATAATTCCTTTTTCTATTGTTAATTTGTGTCTTGAATCTTTATATGGCCATCAGCAATAGAGCTATGCATTTCTCTTTATTCTATCCAACACTGGATTCTGTCTAGTCCTTAACTTAAGCTGATTTAAGGGTAATATGTCCATTTCTATCCAGTGCAAAATTTTATCCTCACAATTTTCACTTGCTTCAACATTTTTACTCTCAAAATTTAACCAAGATAATGCATCCACAAGTAGAATAGTATTTCCTTTAATATATACAATGTCAAAGTCGAACACTGTAAGCTGTTATAGTGGAACACACCTATTCTATTGCTAATAGACTCTCCCACCTATAATAAGTAGGAGTAGTAGCAGTCGTTCAGGGAGTTGATCAGTCAGTTGATGTCGGACAACCATTGGTCGGATACTAAAAGTATCAGCGACCACCACTAGATTTCTCTGCGTCATTACCTATTATATCAAGTTCCTAACATTTTGTATGTCGAACCTATTTTAGGACCGACTTAGTACAAATACAAGCTTCCACTGTGAAACCACTCTACAACAAATCTTAATTGCCCATCTTAATATCCTGGCAGATATGACCTTTGGCAACTCTCTACTGGGGTTGAATATAAATTCCAAAGGCTTATGATCAGATTTTAATTGAAATTCAGCAAAAAATTTCTAGCTCTTTTCATGCTCCACACAATCGCCAATATCACCTTCTCAGTATTCAAATAATTTGTCTCCACCAATGTTACTTTTCTGGATAAGTACATTACAAGTTGATCCTCCTGCGACAATATTGCAGTTATAGCACAGTCACTGGCATCCGTAGTTAACATCAATTCTTTTGCTGGGTTGAAAATTTTAACAATTAGTTTGTTTATGAGTGCCTTTTTTAATTTCTCAAAAGCAACCTCCTGTCTTTTTATCCATTGAAGCTCTGCATTAATCTTCCCTATTTCATTAAATGGTTCCATAATGTCACTCTGTTGCGGCAGATAACTTTTATAGAAGATTGTGATAATGACCAACAAAAAAGACAAAGAAAAATTAGTCAATAAAAATGACTTAAAATGATAGTGATGTCAAGGAAATTACACAGAATTTTCCAGAGTCTAATTACCCTCATTTCCTACATATTTCAGTTGTAAGGAGTGTTCCAATCAGCTTTTCCTCACCAAGAATTGTTACTTTGTGGAACAGACTCCCACATGGATACTTCCTTGAACACTACAATCTTAATTTTCAACTTAATGAACAATTTTTATATATCTTTCTTATCTTTTCAATCTTCACTTCCTGCCCCCTCCTCTCACATTCATATTACACACCTCATTCAGTAACCCTCTACCTTGAGTGGCTCCTGTGCCAGATATTGAGTGAAAAGTATCTAAAACTAACTTAAAACAAATGGAAATATTTTATTTATAATTCTTTCCAAAATATTCAATTAATGGCTAGGCGCCCACCATGCCACTTACATAATAGCAAACCACTCTCCTTCCCACCATATTCCATTGGTGAGAAGTAAGTTCCACTCAAACAGCTTCTTCCCATGAACCACTGTTCTGTAGAACAAACTCCCAAGATGATGTTTCCCCAATCACTACAATCTTAACCTGTTCATGTCTAGAATTAAATTTTCTTCCCCCTCCTATCCATATAAACTACTACTTAATATAACACTCTACCTTGAGTGGCCCCTAGGCCTAGTGCAGGGTGAACCTTACTGAGAGAGAGAGAAGGAAAAAAGATGAATGAATAAATTCTTCTATTTCATTAAAGAAAAACTTAAAACCATTAACAGATCATTTTCACATTCTTTACTTTTTTGCCAAAATAAAAACGACAGTATGGCGTGTATTACTAAAGAGGCTAATGTAGGCTATGACCTTTAAGGAGAAGTAAGTGTTGAATAATGCTTCTTGCTTGAACTTTTCATTTGCCAAACTGGCTTTCTTTAAACAGTTGGTTGCAAGACTAAGAAGATTGAGAAAAAGCATCAAAATTATTATCATTATAATTATTTTTTCTGTTTTTTTTTTTTTTTAATCAATTCACCCCAAGCAAGATGATAATGCCACTAAGATGCAAGGGGCTAGGTTGGGCAGTATGTACTTGCATTCTATGGAAACAGGCAAGCAATAACTGAACAGTACTAAATAAACAGACATTATCCCTAGACATGAGCAGTGGAACAAGAAAAATCTACCCCTTGAGATTAAATAAAGGGATCAGTTCAGAATTCCTTGTAGGTTACCCAGATCGATATTCACCTGAGGAAGGCCAGAGTGAACATTGGCTGAAACGTTGTAGTAACAACAACAACAACAAAGATGAGTTCAAATATAAATAGTGTAAATAATGATAACTCCTCATCCTAGAAATTTAGATAAATTTTTTTAAAATGTTTAAATAGAAAATAAAATTTTTACTTATGCTTTTTATTAAAGAGAATTTTGTTTAATCAAATAGTTAGATAGAAAAAACTTTTTTTCTTAAAGAAAATTTTAAAGAATTTTTAAGTAGAAAACAAAATTTCTACTTCTATTTTTTATTATGTTTAATAAAAAAAGAATTTACTATGACATTTTGTTTATTTATTTATTTTTTTTTTTTCTCAAAACAGTTACTCCTTTCAACTTTGGGAATAAGTCTTTGACTCTTACTCCCGATTCTGCCAAGAAGAGCAAATTTGACCTGCAAGCCAGTTTGGCAAAGCCCATCACTTGGAAGAAACACACAGGCAAATTACGGCCTATGGCATTTGGTAATGTGGGGCCGCAGTATTTTAAAAAGGGGTTGAATACCTCCATCCAGACCAACAGGTATAGTAGCTTGAAATTTGTGTTTATTTTGTATGGGTGAGGTGGTTTTGACGTATATAAATTCAGTTTATCAATTATAACTGATAAAAAAAAAAATGCTTGTAATATTTGGATATTGTTAATGTTTCAACATTCCAATTCTCTACAGAATAGTCACTGAAATAGAAACAAGAATTAAGCACAATTTTTGTCTGTAAATCAAATATTATTCATCACAAATGTGTTTTTAGAATTACCTTTTTCCCCTTGTTAACACAGGTATACATATTTTTGCATGTAAGCTATTTGACCAGATTAAAATGCTTATTATGTCCCATAGCACCAGTTATATTTAATGTAATTAAATGTCTATGCAAATACAACAACTATTCTGGGACAGAGATCGTAAAATAGTTCTACCTCTGGCCTATAATACTTGTACTTTTAGTGCAGGGTTTCCTAACCTGGGTGATATCGGCCACCAGTGGGCAATTTCAGCTGTTGGGTAGGCGATGAGAAACAGAAAATAATGAGCAATTGAAAATTTTGGTGGGCAGTATAGGATTTTGAATATTAAAAAAGTATTTCAACGTCTGCTTACCCGCAAAACAAATATTCAAAGTAGATATGCAAAGAACCTGTATTAACAAAAAAAAAAAAAAAAGAAGAGAAGAAGAAGAAACAGGTGGCTAAATGGGAATAACTCGATCGCATTTCTATATAAGATATAAATATCCCCACAAACAAAGGATATTTTGGTATTTTCTATAATTTTAAGAGTGGTAATTAACATTCAAATAGTTCTTCAGATGAAATAACATTGTTTTTTTGTTTTTTTCCTTTCCACATCACTGTATGCTATTGAATATGTGCTATACAAATGAACTCTGGAAAATGTTTCCATGTGAAAGTTAACAATGATGTAAAAATGGTTGCGACCCCCTGATTTAGTGTATGAAATATAAAAACTAACTTATCTATATGTGTAGGGCTACCTATTGAATTGCCACATTATCTATGTTCATATATAAGTAAAATATTTTCATTTATAAGTCAGATTGTTTTTTGCTTTTTCACATTTACCAAAACTTGGAAATCTATTTTATTAATTTTTATTCTTTTGCTTTTTCAGAGAGAACCGCCGTGCTGATACAGCCAGGTGTCGTGCCACCAAGCGTGACAATCTCTTAAACAGTCGACGCAATATCAAATTATAAACATGAAATATCTGGCCAGTCCCACTAGAAAACCTTGCAACCTTGAGAAGAGCAGGGGATTCTGGGATATCTTAAAGGCTTACTTGTGTATGTCTTCCAATAACGTGGACACTGCATGCATGGGATAAGAACACCGGTGCATTCAAGAATGTTTGAAAGGCGTGTGAATGTGTCTGGCATTAGTTTTATTGTACATAGCAGAAAGGAAAATTTTTTGTAATACCTTTGTGGTTGCACCTTTTTTTTTTTTTTTTTTTTTTTTTATTTTTTATGTGTGTGCTTCTTGCCCAGATGAATGTACCTTGAAGTTTATCTCACAAGCCTTATCACTTTTGTTTTGTACTATTTACTGCCCACAGCCTTTAAAGAATTCTCATGAACATTTCTTCCTGTGTTTGTCTTTATGTAATCCCTACAGATAACAGCTCCACATTAAGCAGTAAAAGATTTTATATTTACAACAATTTTATATTGTGTAGATATCATATTTATTTGGGTTTTAACCACATTTACTTCATTTGTGTGTGTGTGTGTGTGTGTGTGTGTATATATTGTTTATTTGTTTAAACATTATTTTTTTTTAATGGGTGCTCATATTGGAGTAGATGATCTTGTTTAAAAATATACAGAGGACTCGTGTTTCAAACAAGATTTCTTGAATATTCAGGCTGGTAGATTAGTAAATAAATAAATAAAAACAGATCATCTACTTATTAAATATGAGCACTCATTAGAAAAAATAATGTTTAAACAAATAAATTAAAAATCTGTGGATTTAATCCATTTCCTAAGATACACATATGCACAATATAATCTACTAATTTTTAAGGTGCTTAAAGACCTACAAAGGTACCAATTAAGATTGATTTTAAGTCATTTCCTATTTATAGAAGTTTTATTAGATGTTTGCAAAAGTTCCCAGCAGTCTTATTTGGAAATTACATTCTGAATATACAGATGAAAATTGGTTTCTCTTTGAAAACTTTTTTCACACAAGTCATATAATTATTTTCAAATGAAGTAAGAAGTGGTCTGTAATTAGCTAAATTCCAGCAGTGTTTCAAATTTAAAGTCAGCTTTACTTATACTCCTATTAATCCCTAGTCAGCAGGAATTGAGTGTTAAAGGAGTTTTTAATATACATGCTTACAATTTAGAAAAAAACAGTTTTTTTGTAATAAAGTATGAAAATGTTCATGAAAGAAGAAAAAAATGAAAAGGTTATTAATCTTTTGCACAAAATAATGCTAACCATAAGATAATACCTTTATTTTGTTGAAAGAAGAATTATTTCTATATAAAAATATATATTAAAAAAATGTCTTTTTTTTTTTTTTAATAAAGTTATTGTTATTTCATAAGTATCATTATATTATGTAAGTCTTTTTATTTCTTTTCTTCTTTCAATGTTGATAAGATCATACAAAAATCAGATTATTATTATTGGAGCATAAATGTTGACCTTAAACTATTATCATTAAATTTCAAATTGGAACAGTAACTCTTTTTTTCAAGTTAGATCATTTTAACAGTATCTAAAAATATCTTGTGTCATTTTTGCTGTTATAGCAAGAAACACCCGCAAAGCAAAATCAAATAAGTTTTATTATATCCAGTCTTTATAATATGTGGTCTATGCTTAAGCAAATATAGTTATTTATATATTGTATGGAGATATTTTTTTTCTTCCTCTAGCTTCATGCTGTCCCCCCCCCCATGTAACTTTTAGATAACCATCTTCATTTTTGCTGTTTTTCAACACAATATCTTGGCTGACATTTTCATCAGCTTTATTGTGATGTGTATGTTGCATCTGGGGGTCTTTATAGAATTTACTTTGTGCTTTTCTCTCATCTCCTTAACTAAAGCACTGCAGTCTAAGTCACATGACTTGGTTTTTAAGGCCTTGTGATGTTTGTTTTGGCTTCTCAAATTGGTAACACTGCTTCCCTCGTTACATAGATGAAATGGAAGTAGAAAAGATAAATGATATGATAGGCAGAAGAATGAGTTCACCAATATATTGTAGATAAAAAAAAACATGAATATTTTATCTCCCCCTTCCCCAATACACTGTAAGCCAAATGTTTGGGGTCACCCACTGGATTTCATAATTATTAAGATTTATATCTTTTTCTGGTTTAAGCACCTCAATGTGGTGTAATGGTCAGCTAGCTTGTCTTGCTAGAACAATTATTACTGAGCAGTGAGTTTTATCCTCACTGGGGAGCCCCCATACTTTCGCCCTTGTGCTACACCTAAGCTATGCTTAGAAAAATCTCCATATCTTTTTCGGGTTTAATTAACTTCTGCTAAGCACAGATGCTGAAATTATTTCAGCCATTTGTTCATGGCATTCAATTTGAGATAGATAGATAGATTACCTAAACTTTAAAATCCACCAGCCCAGCAAGGTAAATCAGACAAAAAAGAGCTAAAATTTTAAGGAAACTTTATAATGGGTTAATTTCATTATCACCATTATTATTATTATTGAATAGATGATAAAATCCTTCAGAGTGAGAAAGTCTCTCTAACCCCAAATCAAATTATTTTAAAGAGGTTTTACCTAAAATTTAAAATCTGCCCTGAAATTGTCATTAGGCAAAAAGAGAGAAAATTTTGAGGAAAATTTATTCAGCAATGTGTTAATTTTCTTATTATTAATGACTATATGGTAAAAACTTTCAAGAAGATTAAATCCCATTGCCCTACAGTTAGCTAGTAAATTAGTAAATAAGGCACACTGAAAACAGTGGTTCTCATTTGATCACCAAAGTTAAGCAGTATTGATCCCAGTCAGTACTTAGATGGGAGACCACATGGGAATACCATAAGCAACCTTCTATGATCCAAAATAGGTTTCTCTTTTAAATAACCCATGAAGGGTTGACAAGCCGTAAAAAATAAATCAAAGTATACTTTGACTCTATACTTCTAACATCTCCATATGAACTCTGAAATTTTATTTACTAATTATTTTCTTTTTTCTCCTCGATGTGAGTAGATAGGTTAATCTATTGTATGTTTCTCACTCTTCTCTGATCTTTTGAACAGAATTATAGGTTTATTCTTTGTTCCCTGTTTAGAATTGAGGTTCTGGCTCCCTCAGAAATTTTTTCATTCTCTTTCACTCCCAAGTAGCCTCTCGTGTCTTAGTGGCATTATTGCTTTGTTTGGGGCAAATTGATTTTAAAAAAAAATTAAAAAAAAAAAATCACTCAACATTGAAAAGGTCATGTAACCTTCAATTTTTAGGCAATTTTTTGGAAATCCAGATCACCCGAAAGTTTTGGCCTATGGTGTACATCAAATAATAAAAAACACATCTTTTGTTTTGAAGCATGCTCAAAGAAAATAATCATTTTGCCATTATTTTTTGTGAAATTTTTGTAATGTAAATATGCAATACATCCGTTTTATTTTGCTCTGATTCATTTTGAATATTTTTCTTTGCTTTGATTTTCCCATTCTAATTCTGAAAAATGTACTTACCAGTCAATCATTAACTAATACTGATTGGCTTTATTTTTGCTTCAAATAATTTTTGTCTTTTTTTTTCCACTCTGTGTCACTAATTTAAAAATCTTTTACAAGATTCTGCCCTTCATGTTAAAGCCTCTCATTGACTTGAAATTTGATTAAAATTTAACTGTCACACCTTATACAAACATTTTGGTTGTACGCCATCCAATGTTACACAAACTCATGAATGTCAACTTCTGTAAATGATATCTATGGATGCCTCTAGGAAACAAAAATTCAACTTTACAGAGTAAATTTTTCAGGTAACTAGATTTTTTTTTTCCTTTTTCACAAATCTATCCTCAAATCATCTGTTCATTTTATAACTAATATTATACATTTATAAAGTTTGCTTAAAGATCGACAAAAGTTAAGGTTTGTTTTTCTATATTTCAAACCCTTTTCTCTGATTTCCAATACATATTTAAATATAAACTGTTCAATTTCTAAGTACTTTTGGCTTTCATAAGTCATTATGAACTGGCAACCAGGAAAATGGATATGCATTGTGTAATGGAAAAATGGCTCAGTATTGGAAATTGGTGAGCCAAGTTTGAATTCCAGCTAAGTTCATTACATTCACTTATGCGCAAATAACCTTGGGAAAGGTATGAATCTATCTCCCCACCCCACCAGTTCTGGGTTGAATAGGACAAACTGGGTCCTATAGCCTTGGTTGGCAACTGCATAAAGAAACGGCAACTTACTGTGGGAATATCTTCTGCATAGTCAGCCATGAATCAAAAAAGGCATAATCGCCAAAGTGTGTATCGTATATTGATGGGAATTTCCTTCCAAACCTTTTCTTTAAGGTGTTGGGAAAAGTCAACATCTTGATTATATCATTATTTTCCCTTCTAGTTACATGCTGTAAAGGTAAATTGAACTGTAGACTTTGGGTTCAGCTTATCAGGTTGTCTGCTTTTGTGCCATCTGTTCTGTTTTTATAATTTTTAATATCTGAATTATTTTTGTCTGCATCTAAAATATCTTACAAACCTCCATTTACCAACTCAGTGTCTATCATCATTTTTTTTTTTAATCAACATTTTTTTTTCTTGTCATCTTTCATTATAAAATTGTCAACTTTCGTCAGCCAATCTCATTTTTCCAGCTCTAAAAATTTATAAACCAATATATATAGGATTCTCTCTCTTACACATTACACTTTTTCCACTTGTTAAATATTGATCCTCAATTCTCTTTTGAAATTGCCATTGGGTAGTTTTCCATATTGGATTGGTTTAGAGTAATGACTCAGATAATGGCTTCCAATTTCATAATGTTGAAACCATTTTTTCTTTGTCTTTCAATAATTCATTCTCTGGTTTGAATCATTGAAAACTGCTTGGGAATCTCTCCTTCTGGTGTTATAGTATTCTGTATTTGGTATAGCCATTTTTTTAACCATGTCCATAGAGGATCATCAGTCTCCACAACTTCTTTTTATTTTTTCTTTTAATATCTGTAAATTGTGAATTGTTATGAGTGTTCTTGGGAAAGATAATAGTTGTTTCACATTCTCTTCTCCACTGTTTTTGAATTCAGAATTATTCTTTTCCTAGACAGGTTGCCAGTCAAGGCTAGAGAAGAAGTGATGACTTCACACCTTTACTAAGTGCATTAGCATAAAATGAATACAGTGGAATTTGAACTTGGTTTTCTGATTCCATTTTCTGCTCCAGTAACTGTAGTGCTACTTCTAGAGTCAAAATTTGGTGCTTAACTAAATAGATTATTTAACAAATGAAACAATTTCATTATAACTGTACATCTTTCTTTTCCTTTTTTTCTTTAACTGTCTACAGAAATATTTTCAGATAATATAATTGTCTCAGTATAAATAAATTCCTCTATCGATTTGATAAGTATAAATTCCTCCATAGATTCCATAAGCAACTAGCCATTAATTTAATTTGAGGATTTGAATTTGAAGATCAGACAACCTTTTCACTTAGTCAGTTTTTAAGTCAATATTAATAAAGGCCAGAAAGTTATATTCCTCTTTGTATCAAATGGAGAAATCATCTTGAGACTCAGTCCAGGAGTTCAGAGAAAAAAAACAAAAAAAATAACTTTCATTTTGAACAAGAGCAAAAGCCCTTTTTACCTGCAGTTAGTCTTGTACTCTTAAAACCACCTGTGAATCCATAGTATAACTGTTGTGAAATTATTTACCAAGCTTTTTGCTCCCTCTGAAGATGTATCAGAACATTCAGTGAATAAAATAATTTTTCAAAAATCTACTTTTTTTTTTTACAAAATAGATATTTTATTGTCCTCTTTGTTGGGCACCTTGTCATGCTGATTATCCAGGTGTGTCACTTAATCTTTCTGGCACATTACTGGATTAATCAGTTTACAGAGATCGGGTAAAGAGAAACTCAGTAATCCACTCCTTAACTGCTTTTTTCCTCCCCTGGTAACCTAATTCTCATTGTAACTTTTAAGAGTTCCATCACATTGACTGATATACACAAATGTTTACCTTGTATACCATCACTGTAACTTACAATATTTCATGCCGTATAAGACCTAGATTTTTTTTTTTTCACCTTTAGTAAGGTTAGACCAAAAATGAGTGTTTTTTTTTTTACAGCTTATGAATCTTTTGCGGGTTATTTAAAGCCAGAAAATATTTTTAGATTGTAAGAATTTTTTTAGATAATAACAATTTGTTGATACAAGTCCTATTAATTAATCCATAGTTGGAGGGAGAAGTGAATTCATACCTTTCCCAAGGATATTTGTACATAAGTAAATATAATGAACCTGACTAGAATTGGAACTCAGCTCTCACCAATTTCCAATTCCAAGCTGTTGCACATCCAAGCTTACAGCAGTTGGTATTCTCAAGCAGTTAACGATTTTGGTACTAAACTGGTTCGATGTTGCTTAATTTTGGTGATCAATGTAATATAGCCATAAGCCCAACCAAAAATGGAGTAGTGTTGTTGAATTGTTCAAGCTTCACTTTCCAGCCTTGATAGAGTAGCTTCATTCTTTAGTTCCACCTGTTTAGACTTTTATATATAGAACACACTATGATACTGCCACAGAATCGAATCAATTGCTGCCACATATGTTCCGGTGCTTCTGCTATATATTTACAGATTCTTGATAAAATCCAGAGAAGGATCAGCAAAGTTATTGGTCCTGACCTGGCATCTCAGCTTCAGTCACTTTCCCACCACTGTATTGTAGCTTCCTTGTGCTTTTTCTATAAATACTTTTTGGTAATTGTTTAGATGAAATCTCCACTATGACACCTAAATTTTAGGAATTTAAGCACAGAACAAGATTGGCAACAAAGTATTATCAATTTGCCACTTAATTGGCTAGATGTAACCATAAGTTCTAAGCTAACAGTTTCTTTTCTCACACTTCTTGCTTGCAGAACTCTCTTCCGGCTCCATGCTTTGATCTTCAAAAATTTCAATGCAATGTCAATCATTATTGTCTGTCTTCTTGATTACCCTTCCATTGTTTTCTCGCTGATTAATAATGTCTCCCTGTTTTCTTATTCTTTCACACTCAGTAACCCCTTGTGTCTTAGTGGCTATATTGCCTTGCTTGGGGTAAATTTGATTAAAAAAAAAACAAACATATAAATAATGTTATGGTAATTGTTCAGATGAACTCTATGGTTCTAAATTTATAAATCTAAGCACAGTACTAGATTAGCAACAATGTCCCATCAATTTGCCATTTAATTGGCTAGATGTAATCATAAGTTCTATGCTTTTTTTTTCTCACACTTCTTGCTTGTGGAACTCTCTTCCAGCACCATGCTTTCCAGCCAACTTTGATCTTCAAAAATTTACATGTGAAATGATTAAAAAAAATTTCCACCGAATTTGTGCAGTTGGTGTAATAGATAAGTCTGAAATTGAACTTCTGACATCCAAGTTCCAATTCCAGTCAGGTTTGTTCCATTCACGTACATAACCATGAGAAAAGTATGGACTCACCTTTTCAAGTTACCTTGTCCCTCAATAGAAGTTAAAGAGGCAAGACCTATAAGGCAGCAAGTGGTTTGAGTTCGGAGTTTTCCTTCTCCTAGACTGGCAATAGTAGATGGAGGCCATACACCACCCAGACTACATGGCCCCTCTTTCAGCCACACCGACAAGATCCAAAGGAATACGGGGTATTACATTTGGGGATATCTTGGCTGCAGGAGTTGCTGGAAAGTTGTCCAGGTTGACAGCCAACTGCCTTCATGGCTCCACTCTGGGTTTTCTATCTGGATTTACTTCCATAGCCTTTTCCATATTTTGGATATAACTACAAAGCAGTGGAGGTCTAA